TTCCTTTTAACCTTTCCTGCTGAGGTCAGTAACAGTATCTTTGAGTGTCTAACAGCTGTCTCCTGCTGAATGTCTCATAATATTTTGACATTAAGCATGGACAGTTCGGAGGTTTCGTTAATTAGGTCCGACAGTTTGTATTCTACTTTTGGTTCACATTCCATGGAATCTGTTCAGTACCTTCCACCAGGAATGTGGGTGTTATTTCTGCCACTCACTTGTCTTTTTCAGTTCACATTTTTTCCTTCAACAGAATCATGTCACTATCAATTATTTACCATCTTCTAAATTTGCATGTACTTGGCCATTAGAACTGCAAAAACATCAAACATGAGACCAGAAGAGCATGTACTAGAGTATTGCAGTAGTCTGAACACATATTTACAGTGGACACGCTCTTCTGCTTGGCTGCAAATGGAGGCCTATGTGAGGCTGTGCACGTGTTGCCAGGGATATTGGGCAATGTGTGCACCTTGGTATAGGAGTAAGTTAAAGTATTATTTGGAGGGGAAAGCATTGCTTTACCTTATAGTTCCCTTTAGTCCTTATTGCACTGCTACTGATTGACTTCAGTGGGACTTTCTTCTGGAGTATTCTCTGAGTGAGGCCTGATCAACATACACAATTGCATGTGTTTGTTTAAAGGTATGATTTATAAATCTATGTAGTTAGACCAGTGCAGCTTTGTGTTTAGACACTCTTAAACCGATTTAAACTTGGCTCATATTAGTTTAGCTTGAATCTAAACTGAGAAAAGTATGTCCACACAGGGGGTTGCACCAGTTTAACTTAAATTGGTTTTTAAAATGATTTAAGTTTAACGCAGGCAACTCCTCCGTGTGGACAAGCCCAGTGAGAATACTCTGCTATGCCTTCCTCACTTCTTGTGCACAACCCATGCATTCCAAACCTCTCAGACTTGATGCTCTGGCTCTTAAATCTGGTTTCTGTTTTCCCTCCAGTGTGCAACTTATATAAACAATCAAATTTAGCCCAGTGTTTTAGAAGTTAGGCTGAAGACTGACCATTTTATTGGTTGGTTCTAACTTTATAACTGTTGGGCCAAATTCTGCCTTCAGTTAAATTGAAGCAGATTTAGGGCCAGATATCAAAGGTATTTAGGTACCTAAAGATATAGATAGATGCATAATGCGATTTTCAAATGTGCCTAAATATCTTTGAGGATCACCATGTGTTGTAATGCCTAAATTCTAGGTACCTTACTGCCAAGTGGCATCCTCAGTCCCATGTTAGGCACCCAGGCTTCCCCTAAAGAGTACAGGGAGAATTAACCACTGGGCTAGTGGCTGTTCCTTCATCTCTCCTACTGGAACTGTACCACTTTATATAAACACCTATTCATTGAAACTGCTTCTCCCACATCCACCACTGAGAGGATAGCTATACAGTCCCTGAAGTCTAACTACCAGAGAGTGATCAAACCAGCAGACAAAGGGAGTGCCACTGTAGACCTCAACTGTGCTGACTACATTAATGAGGCCAACCAAAAATTCTGACCCCATCTCCTATAAAGAACTCAAAGACCCCTCATCACAATTTATGCAGAAACTTAATGATATAATCAAATCCTTCCCCAGACAGCTCTGAGAGAGTTTACAAACTCATCCTCCACAAACCCATGGCAACAGTCTTCTATATGTTTTCCAAAACATACAAACAAGGGAACCCAGGCAGATCCATTATATCTGGCCACAGCACTTTTACTGAAGGAATATTGGGACTCATAGGAACCATCCTCAAACCACTCACCACACAAAGGGCCAGTTTCCTCTGGGATACAAATGATTTCCTCCACAAACTTTGCAACATTAACAACCTCCCTCAGAACACCATCCTTGCAACCATGCATGTCACTGCCCTGTACACCAACACCCTCACAATGATGGCATAGCTGCCTGCCTCAAATATTTGCAAGAAACTGAACAATCTGCAGATATCCACCGCAAACACATTGCCAAACTTATCCATTTCATTCTCACCCATAACAATTTTACATTCAACAACAAACACTTTGTCCAAACCACGGGAACAACCATGGGTACTAGGATGGTTCCCCAATATGCCAACCTCTTCATGGGACACCTTGAAAAAGAATTTCTGGATGAATGCACCAAAAAAACAATGATATACCTGAGATACATCGATAATATTTTCATCCTCTGGAAAGATGACTTAAACTCCCTCATAGACTGCCACCACGAGAACAACAATCACCAGTCCATTAAACTCTCTCTGGAACACTCCCACACTAGCATCAATTTCCTGGACACCACAGTTGGCTCCAACAATGGAATCCTACAGACACTCCTATACAAGAAACCCATGGATCACCACACCTACCTTCAGAGATGCAGTAACCACCCCAAACACAGCAAGAAATCTGTTATCTACAGCCAGGCAGTCAGATACCACAGAATGTGCTTCGAGGAGAAAGTCTGGGATACACACCTTACCACACTTACAACCACCTTCACCAAACAAGGACACTCTATCAGAGAAGTAGATCACATCAAGGAGTGGGCTGTCCACAAACCCTGGGAGAACCTGCTTCAATACTGAAATAACCTCCCCCCCACAACCACATACCTCTAAGTGTCAATTACCACCCCACACTGGAACCCATATGACCTATCATGAAACAACTACAGCCCATACTCAATGGAGGACTCCATCCTGAAAAATCTTTCCTGAACTCCAGACTTCTGGCCTTCAAACAACTCCCCAACCTCTCCAAGCTCATTATCAGTAGCATGTTCCCACAGACCAGCACACACCAATTCACACCAGACCGTGTAAGAACAAAAAAGGCAAAACCTGTGACATACCTCCACTGCTACAATGATCATCAACCCACAAAACACACTGTTCAAGATCCATGAATCCTATGCATGCCTATCACAACATGTTGTGAATCTCATTCAGTGCCCTAAATTCCTCAGTAACAATTGAGTGAAACCAGACAACCACTACACTCTTGAATGAACTCACAGAGGAAAATGATAAAAGACAAAAGCTTGCCTCTCTCACCAACAGAAGTTGGTTCAATAAAAGATATTACCTCACATACCTTGTATCTCTAATATCCTGGGACTGACACAGCTACAACTACACTACATATATCTCATACATCCCACATGAGTGTGCTTACCACTGCACTATAAAGTCTTTCTCTCTTGCACTGTAAATATATAATTGTTTATTCAAAGTGGGACAGCTTGGACAGACTGAGAGACCCATCCCAATATACCCAACAGCCTGGGGGGACTGAGGTCACTTTTCTGCAAGGTGGGAAACCTGAGTTTAAGTCCTTGACCCAAATCAAGCAGAGTAGGGATTTGAAAATAGCACACACACCCCATCCCAGCTAAGTGCTCTTTCTTTCTTTCTTTCTTTCTGTCACCTGGGTTGATCTAGCTTAGGCATTCAGCTCCAGGTGAGAATTCACAGCTGTGACTTCCAAACATAGGCACCAGGGAGTTACATATCTAACTACTTTATCTTTGAGGGGCCAGGGTCCACATCCTTCTCCTCAGCATTTCCTGCTGGCTGCTTTAGGCCACTTCCCCTCTCAACATGCTGCCATCAATGAATTTTTTGGTTAGGCATCTAACTAAACCTATGTATCGTATAGGGAGCCTGGGCACTTAACCACGGGCTGTGGATTCCCCTGGTTGCCAGGGCACCTAAAATTCAGGCTTTGCAATGCTGAGCAGTGTGACATTTAAGTCCCTTTGTGGATCTATTCCTTTGTGCATTCCCTACATGAAGTTCATTCATGGTGCTCTCTACTCCCCTCAACAGACAATGGACATTCAGAAAATATTAAAAAATAAACATTTTACATGATTAGACAAAGTAGGTATTCCACTATTTGTTTAGTTATTTATTTTTACATACCCACACACTAAAAAATTGCTGTTTAGAAGGGCTCAGTGCACAAATTCAGCACGGTTACCGAGGATAGAGGGAAGGAGAGGGAAATGTGCTGAGCACTTTAGTATTAATCTTCCTGTACAGTTTCTTTCAAAGAGCTACAGGCATACTTTCTCAGCTTCACAGATGCCACATGGCATCATGAGCCTTCATTTGATGCCATCTGCAGGAGGAAAGCTTCAGCTTGGCCTGCAAATAGAGCAAATGTCATTACAGTTGAATGAATGAAATGAGACTCATCATTTCAATCGGCACAAGGGTGCTGGGGGGAAAATCAGGCCAAACTAGTTCAGTTTTTGCTGGAGGAGCTAGAGAAAGATTTTAGAAAATCATTGTTTGGAAAGTTTGGTTGACTCTATATCAGGAGAGGGATGAGTTGGGAGGGGAAATATGGAGCTAGTGCATTTTTTGGAGCTGATTCTCCAGTTTCCTGGAATTTTCTTAACATTCCTAGAAGTCAAAAATGTAGAGACTACTGAAAAGGTGAGAAGTTGGTCACCATAGTTTATTCCTAACTTTGCATTTGAAAAGAATAAATCCAGAGAGCATCTTCCCTGAAGTTAGATGCTTCTTTTTGTCATAAAATTGACTGTGTATCAATTAATCTTATGCTAACCCTGGTGGCTTTGGGGGTTGTTCTGAGTCTGCTGGTATTGGGTTTTTTGGCAGCTTCTCAGGCCAAACTTCCCTATTAACTTTTACCCAAAACAGAACTTAAAATATAAATAGAACTTTTAATATCATCAACAGGGGAAAAGATCATGATCATATAAAACCATGATAAAGAAATTAATCAGGTTTTCTGAGCCTATACATACAGATTGTGAGAAAAAGTACACACTGACAATGCATACATACCTCCTACAAACCTAGTACACTGAAGAAAGCTCTCTCAGTCCAGGACTTTTCTGTTAACTCTAACTCCAGGCAGAACTTCCCCTATTTAAGTTCTCTAATTGTGTTTTCTCAGTGCAGTTTTCCCTATCTGGATCTCTGAGCACCCCCTACCAAACTCTCATGAATGTTTACATTCTCTCCTCTATCAGGTGCATCCAATAAGAGAAGCAGCAAACAGCTTCCTGGTGGCCTAGGGGCTCACTTCTAGCCACGCAGGACAAACCTCTCCTTAATGCAGACTCATCCTAAGGTAAGATTCTTGGGAAAGCTCCAAAATCTCTTCCTAGACTAGTAAACAAAAGTGACGCCTTCCTAGAGGGGATGGTTGCACAATCCTATTGCTTACAAATCAAATAATCCTCAAATAATAATAATCCTTTCAGTTAGGCCCTGTTTTGTTATTCTGGGCTCTAAGGCTTTCAGAAATATAAACAAACCATCCATATATAAATACAGGATGGAAGAAAGAAAAATATGTTGTTATATTCTTTGTAAAACAACTGTCTGTCAAGTACAAACTCTCATATCCTTTACTATAATATGTTCGTCGTGCACAGATATTAGGGTTGCTAGATGTCCAGTTTTCGGAAAGCCCGGTCAAAAAGGGACCCTGGCAGCTCCGGTCAGCACTGCCAACTGGGACGTTAAAAGTCCGGTCGATGGTGCTGCAGGGCTAGTTCCTACCTGTCCTGTCTCCATGCTGTGCCCTGGAAGTGGCCAGCAGGTCCGGCTCCTAGGCCGGGGGCCTGGGGTTCCATGCGCTGCTCCTGCCCCGAGCACCGGCTCTGCACTCCTATTGGCTGCTTCCAGGGTGTAGTGCGGAGCCACGACAGGCAGGAAGCCTGCCTTAGCCCCACTGCGCTGCTGACCAGGAGCTGCCCAAGATAAATCTGTGCTCCAACTCTGAGCCTCAATCCCCTGCCCCAGCCCAGAGCCCCCTCCCACACCCTGAGACCCATCCACGGCACCACCCCAGAGCCCGTCCCCGAGCCGGAGCCCTCACCCCCTCTTGCACCCCAACCCCCTGCCTCAACCTGAAACCCCCTCCCACACTCTGAATCCCTCTGTCACACTCCCTAGCCCAGAGCCCCCTCCTGTACCCCAAATCCCTCATCCCCATGCCAGAGCCTGCACCCCCAGTCCAGAGCCCACATCCCTTTCCCCACACCCCAACACCCTGCCTCAACCTGCAGCCCCCTCCCACACTTCAAATCCCTTGGCCCCACCCCCCCAGCCTGGAGCTCCTTCCTGCACCCCAACCCCCTGCCCCAGCCTGGAGCCACCTTCTGCACCCTGAACCCCTCATTTCTGGCCCCACCCCAGAACCCGCACCCCTTGTTAGAGACCTCAGTCCCTCCCGCACCCCAACCCCCTGCCCCAGCCCACTGAAAGTGAGTGCAGGTGGGGAAGAGCGAGCCATGGAGGAAGGGGGAATGTAGTGAGCAGGGGGGCGGCACCTTGGGGAATGGGTGGGGCCTCAGGGAAGGGGCGGAGCTAGGATGTTTAGTTTTGTTTGATTAGAAAGTTGGCAACCCTAACAGATACTTTTCTGCTATTGCTGAGCTGTTTGCCTCAAACTACTAATGGATTTGAAAAAAAGGCCTGCTAGATAAAGTGAAAAGTCAGATCTACAAAACACTTTCTATTCTTGTGGTTGTTACTTTATCTATCTTACTCATGTTTGGGAATTCACAGTGCTGAATGCTAATAAACTTGGTGCAAACTTTAACTCCATAAGGTTTAAGTAGCATGTGGGCCTAACTGACCTCTCCACAAGGGGGAATTTTCCTCAGACTGTTTTCACTTCATTCCTGGCATAATATGGGAAAGCTTCAGGAGCTTATTTAAGACTGGAGCTTCACAAATATGTTAACCAAAAATTACAAAGCAGGGTGAGGCAAATTCTGGTCTTAGTTATACTGGTGCAAATCTGAAATTATTTGTCCTCTTAGGTATTACTCCAGAGTTCTGTAAATGATATCTGGCTTACAGTTTGCTTCATATTTCAAAGTTTTCATAATTTTAATACGTATATTTAAATTTCCATTATTTTTTTTCAACCAATGAAGTGTTACAGAGTAAATCAGAGGCATCTCATCCAAATGCACATACATACAGCCCCTGAAAAGTCAGGTTAGAAAAATAATATTCCAGCCATAGGGAGATGTAGTTTCTATAAAAACTTAAGCACATTTAAATTCAAGTGAGGCCAAGTTAGCCCCACCAATGCCTTTCTTGTAAGATTGAAATATCATAGAATCATAGGACTGGAAGGGACCTTGAGAGGTCATCTAGTTCAGTCCCTTGCATTCATGGCAGGACTAAGTATTATCCAGAACATTCCTGACAGGTGTTTGTCTAACCTGCTCTTAAAAATCTCCAATGTTGGAGATTCCACAACCTTCTAGGCAATTTATTCCAGTGCTTGACCACCCTGACTGGATGTTTTTCCTAATGTACAATCTAAACCTCCCTACAATTTAAAGCCATTGCTTCTTGTCATATCCTCAGAATTTAAGAAAAACAATTTTTCTCCCTCCTCCTTGTAACAATCTTTTACTTACTTGAAAACTGTTATCATGTCCCCTCTCAGTCTTCTCTTTTCTAGACTAAACAAACCCAGTTTTTTCAATCTTCCCTCATAGGTCAGGTTTTCTAGACCTTTAATTATTTCTGTTGCTCTTCTCTGAACTCTCTCCAATTTGTTCACATCTTTCCTGAAATGGAACGCCCAGAACTGGACACACTAGTCCAGTTGAGGCCTAATCAGTGCAGAAGTGTAGAGTGGAAGAATTATTTCTTCACTTTTTTTTGCAACAGCGTTACACTGTTGATTCATATTTAGCTTGTGGTCCCTTATGATCCCCAGATCCCTTTCCGCAGTACTGCTTCCTAGGCCATCATTTACCATTTTGTATGCGTGCAACTGATTGTTCCCTCCTAAATGGAGTACTTTGCATTTGTCCTTATTGAATTTCAACCTATTTACTTCAGACCATTTCTCCAGTTTGTCCAGATCACTTTGAATTTTAGTCCTATCCTCCAAAGCACTTGCAACCTCTCCCAGCTTGGTATTGTTCGCAAACTTTGAAGTGTACTTTCTATGCCATTATCTAAATCATTGTTGAAGATATTGAACAGAACCAGACCCAGAACTGATCCCTGTGGGACCCCATTCATTATCTCCTTCCAGCATGACTGTAAACCACTGCTAACTACTCTCTGGGAACAGTTTTCCAACCAGTTTTGCACCCAACTTATAGTAGCTCCATCTAGGCTGCATTTCCCTAGGTTTTTTTATGAGAAGGTCGTGTGAGACAGTATCAAAAGCTTTACTAAAGTCAAGATATACCATGTCTACCACTTCCCCCCCATCCACAAGGCTCGTTACTCTGTCAAAGAAAGCTATCAGGTTGGTTTGACATGATTTGTTCTTGACAAATCCATGCTGACTGTTACTTATCACCTTATTATCCAATAGATGTTTACAAATTGATTGCTTAATTATTTGCTCTGTTATCTTTCCGGGTACAGAAGTTAAGCTGACTGGTCTGTAATTCCCTAGGTTGTCCTTATATCCCTTTTTATAGATTTGCACTATCTTTTCCCTTTTCCAGTCTTCTGGAATCTCTCCCGTCTTCCATGACTTTTCAAAGATAATTGCTAATGGCTCAGATATCTCCTCAGTCAGCTCCCTGAGTATTCCAGGATGCATTTCATCAGGCCCTGGTGACTTGAAGACATCTTGTTCTTTCCCTATTTTAGCCTCTTCTGATCCTACCTCATTTTCACTGGTGTTCACTATGTTAGACGTCTAGTCACCACCAACCTTCTTGGTGAAAACTGAAACAAAGAAGTCATTAAGCACCTCTGCCATTTCCACATTTTCTGTTATTGTTTTTTCCCCCTTCATTGAGTAATGGTCCTACCCTGTCCTTGGTCTTCCTCTTGCTTCTAATGTATTTGTAGAATGTTTTCTTGTTATCCTTTATGTCTCTAGCTAGTTTGATCTCATGTTGTGCCTTGGCCTTTCTAATAGTGTCCCTACATACTTGTGTTATTTGTTTATATTCATCCTTTGTAATTTGACCTACTTTCCACTTTTTCTAGGATGCTTTTTTATTTTTAGATCATTGAAGATCTCCTGGTTAAGCCAGGGTGGTCTCTTGCCATACTCTTGCCATATCCCACATAAAGGAACTATAAATTTGGTGTAGAGATGGAAGATTGACTTAGACCTAATTTGTTTTAGTTATTCCCAATTAAATGGTCACATTAAATATCTCTCATTATGGGTATTATCAACTTTTAAAATATTATTTTCAAAGCTATGTTTTCCATGTAAAATATCTTGGATCAGATACATAAAGTGGTGAGCTGGAGCCGGTTGTTAAATTTAGAAGCCCTTTTAGAACTGGTTGTTAAATTTAGAAGCCCTTTTAGAACCGGTTGTCCAGAAAACCAGTTCCAAAAGGGCTTCTAAATTTAACAACTGGCCAAAAGTGGCACCTAAGGCGCCCATACACGGCTGGAGTACCCACGGGGAAAATTTGGTGGGTGCAGAGCACCCACTGGCAGCTCCCTACCCTGCCCCGCGCCTGGCCCGGCCCGGCCCGACCCGGCCCCAGCTCACCTCCGGTCTGCCTCCGCCTCCTCCCCTGAACACGCCGCCCTGCTCTGCTTCTCCACCCTCACCTCCCCACCTCCCCCTCCCCAGGTTTCCCATGAATCAGTTGTTCGCGCAGGAAGCCTGGGAGGGCTGAGAAGCAAGCGGCGTCTTTGCACTCAGGCCCAGAGAGGCGAAGCGGAGGTGAGCTGGAGTGGGGGTGGGGGGGTGAGGAGGGCTGTCGTTACCTGCTGCGGCACGCGGGGGGGGGGAGGGAGGCGCAGGCACAGGGGAACCGCTCCCCGCCCCAGCTCACCTCTGCCTCCCTGGGCCTGAGTGCGAAGCTGCCGCCTGCTTCTCAGCCCTCCCAGGCTTCCTGCGCGAACAGCTGATTCACAGGAAGCCGGGGAGTAGGGGGCAGAGAAGCAGAGCGGGGCGACACATTCAGGGGACAAGGCAGAGGCGGAGGTGAGCTGGGGCCGGGCGCGGGGCGGGGAGCTGCTGAGCACCCACCAAATTTTCCCTGTGGGTGCTCTAGCCCCGGAGCACCCACAGAGTTGGTGCCTAAGGCACCACTTTTGATGTGATCAGTGGGGGGAGCAGCCACTCCCCTGCTCCCCCCCTAGCTACGCTCCCCCGCCCCT